AGGCAATTGAATTTTTGTACTTTCTGCAAACCCAAATTGCTTGTATCTGGGTGAATGAATAGGAGAAGGGGCAGGGAGGGGTAAGGAATGAGAAGGCAAGGGGATGAAGACACTCAAGGTGCATTTAACACAAAAGCATCTTCATGGAATCTATCACTAGGTGCAATGAATATAAACAATAAAATACCATATAAAAAGAGAAACTGTCATGTCTTTTATGCTTAGCAAATGCACAGACTATAATTTTAAGTACTAGACTTGGGCAATTATGATCCACCATGGACAAGTACAGTTTTGACAACTCTACTCTAGTTTCAGGCTAGCTAACAGAGAGGACCCAGGCAAGGCATCATGCGCTGTCATTCAAAAGGCCAATGAAGCTTTTAAAAGCTACTTTGTTCTTGATCCTTAGTCTGTGTTTTGTGACAATTTGATGCTATGAACAAGTTGGGGTGTTTGATTATTCAACACATGTAGTCCCATAGATGTCTATGAGGCAGGGGAATCAAATCTCCCGGAGTGGGCTGGAGAGATGGCTCAGTGGTTAAGAGCACTGGCTGCTCTTCCAGAGGTCTTGAGTTCAATTCCCGGCAACCACATGATGGCTCACAACCATCTGTAATGAGCTCTGGCGCCCTCTTCTGGCATACAGAACACTGTATACATAATAAATAAATAAAATCTTTAAAAAAAATCTCATGGAGTATAGTTACATACCACATAAAAATATCTCAACCAGTGACAGGTATTAGGTAACAGTGGTCCTTGATTATAACAGGGCTTAACATTCCCTCTCTTAGTGACAACTTAAGCACTGATGATGATACTGGTATAGATGATCACCTCTCCTGTAGGTCACGTGAGCACACAGGACACAGATCTATGAGTAGTACACACTTGCTATGGAATGTTGCATTTACTACTGTACTTTTTATTGGTAGAGTGCACTAGTACATATAATGTCACAGGGATGGAGAGGTGGTTCAGCAGTTAAGAGCACTGACTGTTCTTTGGAGGATCCATGTTCAACTCCAGCACCCACATAGCAGTTCACACCCACTATAACTCTAGTTCAAGGGGATCTTGTGCCCTCTTCTGGCTACTTCGGGTACTGCAGGCATGTAGTGCATAGACACATAGATAAAACACATATAAAAATAAAATAAAATAAAAATAATGTCACTCGCTCTTTCCCATCTTGCAAGATGGCAGGTGAAAAAGCCGAGAAGCCTGACACAAAAGAGAAAAAGACAGCAGCCAAGAAGGCTGGTGGTGATGCCGATGGTGCAGCCAAAAAGGGTGACCCTAAGGTTAAAAAGCCCAAGAAGGGCAAGCCCCATTGCAGCCGGAACCCTGTCCTGGTGAGAGGAATTGGCAGGTACTCCCGATCTGCTATGTATTCCAGAAAGGCCCCATACAAGAGAAAATACTCAGCTGCAAAAACCAAAGTTGAAAAGAAGAAGAAAAAGGAGAAGGTCCTTGCTACTGTCACTAAACCAGTTGGCGGTGACAAGAATGGTGGTACTCGGGTGGTTAAGCTTCGAAAAATGCCCAGGTATTACCCTACTGAAGATGTTCCTCGGAAGCTGCTGAGCCATGGCAAGAAGCCCTTCAGTCAGCATGTAAGGAAGCTGCGTGCCAGCATCACTCCAGGGACTGTCCTGATCATCCTCACCGGGCGCCACAGGGGCAAGAGGGTGGTCTTCCTGAAGCAGCTGGGCAGCGGCTTGCTACTTGTGACAGGACCTCTTGCCCTCAACAGAGTTCCTCTTCGAAGAGCACACCAGAAATTTGTCATTGCCACCTCTACAAAAGTTGATATCAGCGAAGTTAAAATCCCCAAACACCTGACTGATGCTTACTTTAAGAAGAAGCAACTGCGCAAGCCCAGGCACCAGGAGGGTGAGATCTTCGACACAGAGAAGGAGAAATATGAGATTACAGAGCAGCGCAAGGCAGATCAGAAAACTGTGGACTCACAGCTTTTGCCAAAGATCAAAGCTGTTCCTCAGCTCCAGGGCTATCTGAGGTCTCAGTTCTCTCTGACAAACGGGATGTATCCTCACAAACTGGTTTTTTAAATTGCTATCAACCTAATTAAACAGCTTCATATGTTAAAAAAAATAATGTCACTCATAAAAGTAATCCCAGGATCTACACCAACAGCATCCATCTCCTGCCTAGGGAGTCATCAGTGAGCCACATGGGGTGATTGGCCTGCATGGTCTAGGTTTGCTTAGGTCCAGTGCATAGGAAGAAATGGCCATACTTACAGTTTTCAGAATACATCCCTATTGTTAAAGTGACAAATGTATCCTTTAGGCATCTAACAGAGTGAAGCCCAACTTTAAGATTATTGTAGAGTGTTTTGATTGTGAACCTAACAAAGAACTGGGGCCCGGAGAGATGACTGAGTGGTTAAGAGCACTGGCTGCTCTTCCAGAGGACCAGGGTTCGATTCCGAGCACCCACATGGCAGCTCAGAACCATCTGTAACTCCAGTCCCTGGAAATCTGATGCCCTCTTCTGGTCTTTCCGGGTAACAGTGAGGTACATGGTGCATAGATGGACATACAGGCAAAATATCCATACACATATAAGTAAAAAAATAATTAAAAACTAAATTTTACCAGGCAAATAAAACAATACTCTATTTCAAGAACATGGTAAATAGAGAATGAAAAGCAGAAGCGCATTTTTAATACCACGTAACCTTATTTCCAATGCTTATACAGAATTTAGAATGAAATAGTTTGATTTTCTAGGATAATTTCTGTGTTGTAGCCACATGCTGCTTCTAATCTTTCACTATTGTTGTGTGTGTATATGTGATGTGGTGTGTGTGTTTGTGTGTGTGTGTGTGTGTGTGTGTGTGTATGCTCCTGCATGTGCAGTCATGAGTGTGCTGTGGCAGAGGTGCGTAGTTAGAAGACAACACCTCAGGGTCGCTTCTCTGCTTCCACCATGTTGGTTCCAGGGATCAAAATCAGGTCACCAGGTTCGAATGGCAAGTCCTCCTGCCTGCTGAGCCATCTTGCTGGCCCAACATGCTGGTTTTTTAATTTTGAACTACACTCTTTGAGAGGATTCTATTATTCTAAAATGCAATTTTCCATTGCCCGGGGAGCTAAATCATATTTAAAGCACACTCTGTGTCGTATGCTCCTCTTAGCGCACCACATGTAGCATCTCATTTAATTTTATAGCTTTATGAGGTATGGGTTCATATTAGTTATTTGACAGACGAGGCTTGTGAGGACTAGAAAGATGAACTAATTTATTATCGGTCACACTGATGGTCACAATTTGATCTCTGGCAGTCTGACTTAAGAGCTCCCATACTGCCTCACTAGGTCTTTCGTGGATTAAGACTTGTACTCAATAGTCTCTGTAGGAGTTATGAAAAAAAAAAAAACATAACTATGACGGAGATAGCAACCCCATCTAGAACTCTCTTTTCTTCATCTGAAATTAAATGCAGATTAATCATGTATGACTTTCCCTAACAGAGAATCATCATTTAGGAAGCAAATTTTATACTTATAAAATTTATAACTAGTCTGAGCCTCCCTGGTGGCTACAATGCCTGGAGGTTTTCTGGGCCTGCAGAGTTCTTGACCAGTTGTAGCTTGTCCATCATCAAGGGAGACCACCAAGTCACTATGAGGACACACTTCCATCATTTGCCCCGGCCACAGTGAGGTGAGACCATATCAAAGACCAACCTCAGTGGGCACCGGAAAACAGTGGAGGCCCTGTGGAGGATGGCTCAGCCACGTGGGCCTTCTGCTAGGCTTTAAAATGGGCCATGGAGACCCAGTAGCCACTGCTATCCTACTAGTTCTACTTATAAAATGGGGTCTTGAAGGACCCCCAAGCATAGGGTTCGATGGGAAGTTCCAGTGAGTCTAGTCTTATCTTGAGCTATCCAATCCATGGAACTCTCACAGATTTTGAATTGATCAATTTTCACATTTGTAGGGGACAGTGAGCCACGCCTGTTAGAGGCTGGCTACAGGTGTGCCTGACCACGCCTGTCAGGGCATGGTCAAGGTGAGGTCAAGATGATGCAAGATGGGCTCTTAAGGGGTTGCAGAGCACATGGGAGGCCCCTTCTCCTTGGCCTCGCTGCTCGGCTGCCCTGGGCACACTCTGGCTTGCGTTTGGCTGGTATTTATCTCAATAAAGATATCTTGATCTTACAGACTACCGATTGTCTGTTGTGGTCACGAAATACACATTCACTACACTTTGGGAGTCTGGACCCAGAGAGAGACGTGTATCGTGGACATTTAGCATAAGACAGGAACCTTGTAGACTAGATTGTCTTTCTCTTTATGGTTTGAAGGGGGAAAAAGAATAAACAGATATCCTGAAGCATGTCAGTGGTTAAATTGCAACAAAAATCATATTCTTTGGCTCTGATTTCAGAGATTTTAGTTGGCTGACTTGACCTTCCTTCTAAGCACAGCATCTGAGCTTTCAGATTTGTGGTCACAAGTCCCTCCCTCTTCACACCATGCCTTTGCTGGCAAGAGCGCTGTGGCTAAGGCTACCACTCTGACTCACAGTGCTCTGATTATACAACCAAAGGCAACAAACTCCTACGAGGAAGCATGTAATTAATAAAAAAAAATCCACTACATTTAACACTAGGTGCAATCGCATTGGCTATTCCCTTAATATTCCTGACTCTTGAGCCATCATGACCCTGTTGTTTATAGACAGGTGATCTTATAATTATGATCTTATTTTTACCCACATCCATAAGAAGCATGTACAGAAGAAAACATGACATAAGTAATTTTCTATTTTTTACCTTACCAACATTTTAATGTCAGTGTTGAGGGAGTTAATTTTGCTTATGGGATGTGTGCCTTACGTCAGTGATGGTTTTCAGAAATTTCTCCATGCCCAGTGGGCAAGTAGTACAGGTTGTCAGGTTTTTATGGGATGAAGCTTTGGCACATGCACTTACACTGGGTCTAGTATGGACCTACCAGGAGCAGCTACAGCAGCAGCACCAGCAGAAGCAGCAGGTGTTGTTGGGCCTCTGGTTTCCGGGTGCTTGAGACACAGCCTGTGTTCCTTCATTTTGGGATTGCTGCCTTTTTCTCATTTCAGCTGCTTCAGAAGCCAGCTGGCTAGAGGGAGACAGAAAATACAAGGTGTGAAAGGCCATCATAAAGGCAAGTGAAGGGAAACAAGATTAGACATGATTAACCAGAAATGAAAATCCCAAAACACTGGAATGATCTCTTCTCCAAATAAGCCCCAGGAGCTGGAGAGATGGCTCAGTGGTTAGGACCACTGGTTGCTTTTGCAGAGGATCCAGGTCAATTCCCAGCACCCACGAAGGGACTTGCAAGCAGCCTGCAACTCCAGTTCCAGGAGATCTGATGCCCTCTTCTGGCCCCTGCAGGCACTGCACACAGATGATGCACATACTCACATGCAGTCAAAACACTCATGCACATAAAATAAATAAATCCAAAACAGTATTTGGAAAAAAAAAAACCTCCAGAAGAATTAAGTTATAGTATCAAGAAATAGATGAAAATGCAGTTAAAGACAAAAATAAAAGATTAAAGCTTAAAAGATTGGGCACAAACAGTGGGGAAACACAGAGGTCCCAGCACACACATAACAATTAGCCTGAGGAAAGAATTAATAGACTGTCAGGGATGTAATATTTTAAGGGGAGTTGGCTGGGAACTTCTCAGAAGAAAACAAAACAGAGACTCACAGTGAACGGACACACCACATGCTGAGCAGGATGAATAAGATAAAAAATAAACCCACACTTACACATACAGTAAGACACAGATTTACAAAGCCAAGGGGGGAATGTCGGATTAATATCAGAGAAATAACATTTTGATTGATAGAAGCTGTTAACAAGCATGGTAGTGGGGAGGAAAAATAATACTTCCATATGCTGAGAGAGAATGGACACTCGGGAATTTTATATTCAGCTAAGTGAAAACCCAGGAGTGGGGGTTATTTCTGACAGACTCCATATATTACTTAAGCCTGCTGGACTCTAGTCACAGGAAAATGAAATCAGAGTTAGAAGCCATGTCGTGTTAACAATTAAGCATTGAAATTGGTATATGACACCAGACTTCATGACTGGCTAAGATAGAGCCCACAGTTTCTCTGTTTAGAAAGAATCAGAACTAAATTTAAAGCTATGTAAACTAGAGAAAGGGGACACTGACCTTCCCTCCTATTGAAACTGATCTTGTAGACATCACAATGTCCCCATATCTTTTAATCCAAGAGACATACTTTCCCCCTATTTACTGAACCATGGTGGGTTGAATGTCAGACTGTCTCAGTAAAACTCACACTGAAGCTTAACTCCTCAACATGATGGCAGTAGGGTGATGAAAGCCCTAACAAGTCATTGGATCATGGTGGATCTACCCCTGTGAAAACAGGAATGAACTTCCAACAAGACTTAACTCCTCACATGAGAGGGTCATTTTACATCAGCTTGCCCCAGTCTACGGTTTCACATATGTCTGTTTTCTGCCCTGTATTGACTTAGCATGTGGCCTACATCAGAAACTAAGCAGATGTTGGGGCTTTATCTTCAAAGTTCCCAGCCTCCAGAACTGCAAGGTCCAAAGCAAGCCTTTCTTTATACATCGCTGAGCTCTGGGTATTTCGTTATAGTGATGGAATAAATTTAGACACAGCAGGCTTATTGGTAGCATTCAGCATTAAAATGGACCAAATTACACCCCAGATCCATACATTAAATTCCTGTCCTGGTCCTTAGTGCAATGGTAATAAAAAGGTGAGGCTTTGGGGGTAATCAAATTAGGAGGACGGACTCCATGTGAGTAAAATTACTACCTTTATATAACAGACCCCAGGACAGTTTCCTGCCTTCTTCCATGTGAGGATACTAATAGGAGTCAGCAGTTCACCAGAACCTGGCCATACTGGACTCCAAAGGCTGATTCCCAGCCCACAAAACCACGATAAATACACCCCCCTTGTTTATAAACCACCAAGCCAATGGAAATTGGTTACAGCAGCCCACAATGAGTACTCTTGGGAGTACTATCCTTGCTTACTTTCCTGGGCACCACCCTCACTGATGTCCTTTCTATCTCCCCTGTCTCTTCCAGGCCAACATGGGTGTTTTCTTTTCATCTCCTTCACCTTCAAAATTAGGATCGCCACAATGATCTATCCTTAGAACAATCCTGCATTTGATTGTTTTTTTTCTTTCTTTCTGACATCATTGATTCTTTAAAAAGTAGATCTACTAGGCTTCTACTAAAATAAAAACATCCTCAAAATATGATGCCCAATTGAGATTTTTTTTTTCCTTTCAGAATCCAGCCTGGTTGACATCTCTTTGTGGATTTCTCAACTTGGCACCTCAAATATAACAAGTCCTAATCTATTATCTTTTCCCAAACTTTATTTCTCCCAGTTTTCTTAATTTCAGTAAGTGAAACAGCCTGACATTCTAATCTTTCAGACCAACATTCTGTATTCCTCTCAGGCCCCTCTATTCTATCCTGACCCCTCATCAACAGATTGGCAAATGTGAGGCCTGTTAACTGGTCTCCTCGGTCCTCCCTCTGGCTCTGCCTCCTGGCTCTTCCCATTCCATCACAATTACTCCTAACAAGCAGCTCACTTTTCTTTAAAACACAGACAAGGGAGGATCAGGCCTTCCATGAGGGATCATCAAAGTCTGACCTGAGGAGTGGGTGGGGGGTAGGATGGGAGGATGGGAGGATGGGAGGAAGAGGGAACTGAAATTGGTATGTAAAATAAGATTGTTTTTAATTTAAATAAAAAATTATTTTTTAAAAGAGGAAGAAAAACAGATCAATCATTTCTGCAGAGTCTTCCATTTGACCCTGCTCAAACAGCTCCCTGCATTTTCTCATCATACTGATGAGTGGAGTCAAAATTCTTGCCTTCATCATTTCTTTGACTAGTGCACATTTCTCCTCATCTTGTACTCTGATTAAATCGCTGACTTCCTGGCTATCCTCAGCCATGTCTGGTACCAACATGTGTGTTCAAGCCTTTATACTTCTTCCATCCTTGGGGCTCAACGCTTTCATGTCTTGACTCAAATATCACATTGTCTATGGACACATTCTATGACTGTTTTATTTACAGCTACAACTCATTCTGCTTCTATTGTGAACTGTCATCTTTTTCCCCTTAACTTTTCTTTCCGTGGGACATCATCACTGGATTACGATAAGTTTTACACATTTTTCTAACCAAGTAAAAAGTAAATTTAATGAGGATGGGGAATTTTTTTCCTGCCTTTCTTTTCAATGTTGTAATAATGTGTGGCATATGGGGGGTCGGGCATAAATATTTGTTAAGCTGGTGACGTTTACACATAGTCCTATTAATGACAAGGAAAGGACAATGAGGCCTTTTATATCCAACATTCAAAACTATCAATTTCCTAGACAGCCAATTCAATTATGTAAGAAAAGGCGAGTAGAGTAGGAAAGGGAAGCATGTGTTTGCTGATTTATAGGTGGAGTGGTTGCCTACAAAGCAATTCCAAAAGATTGAGGGGACACTTCATCACAGACAGCCAATGAATCAGTCTTGCAAAGCCATTTTATTTCTAAAATACCAGTACTGGCAATCAGAATATATTTTGAAAGGCATAATTCAAATAGCAAACTTTTAAAAAGTACTATGTCTAAAAATTATATAAGAGCTTGGTGGAAAAGCTATGAGGACTCTATAAAACATAGGGTCTGCTCTGAGACTGGCTATTTTCTCAGACAATGGCATCAAACGTCTTTTAAATGTTAATTGCCATCAAATCATTCGATAAATTCAGTGTGGGTATAATAAAAATATTAGTTATACCACTCTCAGAACTTAACAAAAGGATTAAAAAGTCATAAAACAACAACAACAAAGGGCATTGCAAAAGTCAGACACTTCTGGAAGTAACAACATAGATGAGTGCTAGTCCCACCTATCAATGTAATACTATGGCAATTAAAGATATAGTTACTTTATTTTATGTGGGTGTTTGCCTGCATGTATATCTGTGCACTACATGAATTCTTGATGCCTGCAGAAGCCAGCAGAGGGCATTAGATCCCCCAGAAGTGGAGAAACAGATTGTTCTGAGCCCCGTGCGGGTCCTCTAGAAGAGTAGCAAGTGCTGACCTATGGATTGAGCAATCTCTTCAGCCCCTGTAATGATAATAATTTTGATAATGCAGAACAGAGACTAAATAGATAAATCGATCAACAGAATGAAATTCCCAGAGACTTGGGAAGCAGAATCAAACACAGTTGCAACCATGCCAAAAATGCAGAATATTTCCGTGTTGTTCATGGTACACACCTGAAAATAATAGTGCTGGAGGGAACTGGCTGGGGTTTATCAGTATACACAGAAGCAAAATCTGTATGACTCATATTTTCATCTTCTAGACCTCATCAACTTCAGTTTTCAAGCAAAACAAATTTTAATGTCATAAATAAAACATGAAAGCATTGCGTTAAATGAAGCATAATTCTTAGATACTTTTGAATATGTGCAAACCGATTCTTTTCATCCCTCTCCTTGACTCTTTGGGAAATAAAACAGAAGAAGCCGGTCTCTCCTTTTCAAAGAAGCTTGTACCTGCTCCAAACTAGGACTTTACATCAAGCTGCCCGAGAACCCCCAAGATCCAGAGCAGAGCACAGCAGAGCTAGCCAAGTGTCCAGTTAACAGCCCCAAAGGTTTCTCTCACACCAGCCACATTCAGAAATGCTTCATTTAGTCTTTATAATAAGATTCTGAGAAGGCTGAGATGGAATCGGTATTAATGGTCCTAGCATCAACATTACCTTCCTCATCAAGGCCTAAACAAATTAGGTAATCAGGAAAACCCAGAAATTAGGTACCGTGACTGGGGAGGGTTGTTTCTCTGTTTTTTAAATACTCATGTCTTCTGGGGAATGTTAAAATTCTGATCTCATTTCCAGCTGTGCATAATTCTATTCTTCTATTTTTCCTTTTTCTCGGGTTCTCTTTTGGATCAGATGCAGCGATCAAAATCATTTTATAGGTTGGAGACTGGGACATATAAAAGAAGATAAAATTTAAAGGGATAAATTTAAGGATGATGATGTG